ATAGCTTTAGTTAACACAAAAAGTTTAAGTCACGTGTAACATTGCAAACAATACAAGTTTTAAATACTTTAAACACTTCCGCGTGTCATATTGTATTTGTATACAATTTTTTGTATTACAATTGAAATATTAGGTTCAAGGAAAAACACCCTTTTTCTAAGTCTACGTTTAAAAGGATAGATTATATATATTTCTTACTTATCTAATTTATTTGTAGCCAATATAGCGACGCGCTGATAAGGCACGGGACTCTGAATATAATGGTTTACTAATGAACCGTCCTTATGACATAAGCATAAGATAAAGATTAATGTTACAACCAGACTGCCGATAATTAATCTATTAATAAAAATTCAGGATATTTTTCACAAGCTTCGAGTGTATTACCAATTACGATAATCTTCACGTAAAAGTAAAAATATAGTTCAAAGAGTTGACATTTTGTACAGCGCTGAAGATTATAGTAAAGATTTATTTATTAGTGATTTTACAACCAACATACTTACTATAAAATAAAACACTTAGACAATATACAAAACAAATAACATAGATAAACAATATATATGAAGCAGAAAACATAAGTTATACATTAATAGACAAAAAAAATTAAAAGAAAACTGAAATTAAACATTAAACAAACGACAATGAATACTTAATATTTCAAAGACAAAACTAAATTGTTACTGCTTAACAAAGCCTTTTTGCCTCTTCAAATATTTCCTCATATCGTCTTTGGTGGAAATATCAACATCCTCATAATTAGTGTCATAGTTAGCTAACCCGAAACATTGGCGAATTGTGCAGGTAATACGTGTTCGTACGATTAAATTTCGATTCAGAAACGATGGTGCTGGGTGTATGTAGTGCTTCCGTATGCGAAATCATTTCTGATTTTTGGTCGATTTGTTAGTTGAAGATGGTAAAACCCTAAATGTCCAGGCTCTAGAGAAAAAATGCAACATATAATACATAAAACAACATATAAATTCGCGCACCGGCCGATAAAGGCCTAGGGCCCATGATTGGGTTTGAAAACAGTTAGGTATGCTAATTGTCTACGCTGCCCTTCTAACCGTATAAAGATTGTACTACATATGCTAAATGCATCCGCTTACGTTTTTACTATCTTGAATCTATACGCGATGTTTACTCGCTAAACAATAATTAACCTAATAATATTGGTTAAAAAATATGTAAATAGTAAATATTCCAAGTAATTAGTTGAAATAGTTGATAGCAGTTGGAATTTTTTAGGAATAACACGAGGGCCATACAATTTGAAAATAATTTACTGGCATTGTTGATGTTGCACTCTCAACCCTGAGGTCGTTCACTACTGCAACAATTGATATTTATATCTATGTGCGAAATTTACTTGCTCATTATAGAATTCGTCGTAGAATAAGCGACATATCTTATAAAGCGATACAAAATCACCTGATGTTAAGTGATACCGCCGCCCATGGACACTCTCAATGCCAGAGGGCTCGCGAGTGCGTTGCCGGCCTTTTAAGAATTGGTACGCTCTTTTCTTGAAGGACCCTAAGTCGAATTGGTTCGGGAATACTTCAGTGGGCAGCTGGTTCCACATAGTGGTGGTGCGCGGCAAAAACTGCCTTGAGAAACGCTCAGTTGTGGAACGTCGGACGTCGAGGTGATACGGGTGGAATTTCGTATTCTGCCTCGACGTCCGATGATGAAACTCAGCTGCAGGTATTAATCCGAACAACTCCTCTGAACACTCTCCATGGTAAATGCGGTAGAAGATGCAGAGTGACCCCACATCTCTACGCAACGCCAAAGGATCAAGCCGCTCGGAGAGGGATTGGTCGTCAACGATTCGAACCGCTCTGCGTTGTATACGGTCAAGTGGAAGGAGCTGGTACTGGGGAGCCCCGCCCAGAGGTGAGAGCAGTACTCCATGTGGGGCCGAATTTGCGCTTTATATAGTTGCATGCGGTGGCCCGGAGTGAAGTACCGTCTCGCCTTACTGAGCACACCAAGCTTTTTGGAGGCTAATTTAGCCTTTCCCTCCAAGTGACCGCGAAACTGAACGTCGCTCGATATGTTCAGTGGGAAATACTTCAGTGGGCAGCTGGTTCCACAAAGAATGATACCTTGCCTTTAGAAATGGGTCTGTTCCATTGTAAAGATACACATACTATTTTACAACATACATTAGTTCCATTTAAATTTATTAAACAAATTTTATATTTACAATCAAGTATACAGTATTTACAATATTCTTTATTTATTTTGACATTTTATTAAAGATTTAAGTTGGCGTCTAATAGATAATACCGGTGACCCCAGAGCTGGTGCTTTCCTGGCTCAACGAATAAGTATTGCAATACAGCGAGGAAATGCTGCCAGCGCTTAAAGGTACACTGCCACTGGGACTAAACTTTTTAAATTTGTTTTGATTTTCTTTTGAATAATTTCTATGATTACTTTGTTTGTTAAGAAAATTGTAAATACTGTATATAATTAATTTATGTTCTACCATCATAGTAATATCGGAAACTGAATATATCGGACCTTACCGTAACAATATTAAGTGTGCACAATGCGCGCGTAAGTAATGCATCTCTGAGCATGTTACCAGGCCCCCATATTCTTATGCATTAATAAGGTTTACAAACAAAGCTTGAGGTAGCTAAGATATCATAGGTGGAAAATCATCTCATTTTGGGGATAAACTTTGCTTTGTTATAAATTCGTTTACATATTTAGCTGTATCTAGACCATGGTCATAACTGATTGCGTGACATACGCTATGGACGTGGTCATGATCATGAAATAGACAGTTAAAGATTAAAGGGTACAAGGTACTGCTAGGCACAGATACTTCATAGATTTTAGATATGTGTGAACTGCTGGAAGACAAAGCGTAAAACTGGTTATAGTCAAGACTTCGATGCCAATATCCTTTATATTATTTTCCGTCGTTTCGTTCATCCCAAACATCTGTTTAAAACATAACATTGACATTTATTTAACATAGACCTATCATATATATATATATATTTATATTTATATTTATACAAAGTTATGGGACTTGAAAGGAAAGTATGTACCTTAAATATCGTAGATAGGGTATTTTACTGAAAGAAGACTTTATGTTATTTTTAAAAGTTAGTAATTCTGCATTCAAAGATTTTCTAAAATTAACTTGCCTCGTCTGGGAATCGAACTGACTTAAATGTAAAAAAATAAAAACGCTGGCAGCATTTCCTAGCTGTATTGCGATACTTATTCGTAGAACGATAAAATCAAAGTTGGACGAAAGACTAGAATTTTAACCATCTCGCAAAACTATATTTGTAGAGATATTAAAAAAAAACTATATGGAGTTCAATACGAATTGACATGAACACACTTGATGTTAAATTTACGAACCGAGACAGTTTTATAATTTAAAAAACGCGTTTTGATCCGGTAATGCGATACTCGGGTATACATTAAGGCAACTGTTAAAATTGGTCATGAATAATGTTATTATTTGGTTAAAATACATTTATGTTTATCAACTAAAATAATGGTTAAGACGTGCTGTGTCAATAACATTTAAGACATTGTAAATCATTTAAACAATGCGTAATTACTAACCAATTACATGTCCATTGTATTGTTGCAAATGTCATTATGTGCCTTATGAAAGGTCGAGTGAAGTCATGACATAAGTGACATTGGTTTGACGTATTCCTACGAACTCCGATTTTCCTGTAACTATGGATCTCCACTATTTCCGCAATTTAATGGTTTTCCCGGAGTTTTTTCTAATATAATTTTTTGCTTATTTTAAACGCATCTCAGTCTCGGAGTTCTCTCCTGAAAATCTGAAAATAATAAAAATCTTGAAATTAATAATAGCGCCTATACCTATATTGCTTAGCCTCAGATTGCATCTGTCGGGTTCAAATTTTTTAAGTGAAAGTAATCGGCATTTTCGCTTTGGGACCAGGACATTGAAGAACTACTATTTAATTTTTAATAATATCCCAATCTAATTAGTAGCCCTGATGTTGCAATGAATTGCTTGTACATAAACTCAATACTGAAATCGCTTTTGATACTTTGGGTGTAATTTCCTTGTGAGAGTTGTGTTCATTGCATGCATTTTTTTTCTTCTGGTGGCAGTTACAATCGACACAGTGAGGGTATTCTATATATTTTATACTTTCTGCGGTCTTTTGGCGTCTCGCCTCCTTTCGTCTGCGCTTAATCATTTCTTCTTGCCCTGCTTAGACTGAAACTAAGACTTTTCATATTTATTTTTGGCTGTAACGACGTCCCGATATAACGACAAAATTAAAGTGGTCCCTTCATCGTTGTTATACCCGAAATTATATATTATAACTAGCAGACTCGGCCAAGCGTTGCTGTGGCTATTAGGTTTTTGTTATATTACAGAGTATTAAACTATTTAAGGGAAACGGTAGGAGAATACCAGCCATGGGGACCACCATGCTTTTTGGTGGTTATGCCATTAAATTGTAGCTTATGTGAAACGTTCGTACTTTCAACACAGCGTCATCTGACAAATAGTTTGCAATAAAATAATATTGCGGGTATAAATTGAGACGTAATTTGATTGAAATTGGTTCGGTAGTTAAGGAGTCCATAGGGGACAAACAACGTGACACTTAATTTATATATATTAAGATTATTTTCTGGAATTTTTTATGTTGTAATTAATTATTGACAATCCTTCTTTCGTTTCCGTTATATTGCAAAAAAATAACTTTGTGCAATATTAGTGTTTGACTGTCTATCATTCTTTATTCCTAGATATATAAAACAAGATTTCTTTGACCTTATTCGACACTTATTACCCCATTTCATCTGACCTTTTTAATTGTATGGCCTAAGTGTTACTTCCGGAATGTCATTATGGGCACAATAATAACTACTAATTGATATTAATTAGCGCGAACTCTCGTTCCACATAACTGCCATTTCATTTCGGCCGTTAATACTATTGAGGTGTGTTAAAAAATATGAAGTGCGTTATTTTTATTGCAATTTTGGCGTTGTATACAGGTATTTATTTAATGTTACTATAATATATATCATTGATACTTCAACACTATTTTTGTTAAATACGCAATTGAAAGTAACGCCAAAGGAGTATGAGTGAAGCATAATACATATCTGAGTCTGTTTTATTTTTAAGGCAATCAATAATACCTCATACTCCATTGACTAATTTGAGCCAATTTTAGTATATATTGATTTTTAGTATATGTCGCGACACAACCTGGTTAATTAGTTAGTACTAGTGTTAAAAATTACTGTAAATTGTTGTTAAAAAAATACACAAACAGCAATAAAAGCTTGTATTTTTTTACTTTTTATTTTGATGTATCAAAGCATTGCATAATATAATTACGGGCTACAATTATAACTCTAGTATTGTTTTATTATTTGTTTAGTTCACGGACTGAAGACCATTCAGAAAGGCTATTTTAATACAATATCAGTAGAACCAATAGAATACGGAGCAGGTAGAAATTACTACAACGCTGGAATTAGAAAATCCATCATTTGCAAGGGTGGTGATAAAAATCAAAAGGTATGTGTTACACAGTGTTAGTAGCAGCTTCAGTGTCTCATCCCTGAGGTCGTAGGTTCGACCCTGGCAGTGCACCAATGAACATTCTATATTCACTAGCGAAGTAAGGTGAAGGAAAACATAGTGAGGAGACTGGCTTATTTTATTAACAAAAGTTTGCCAATGCTCGGCACACTGTTAATGTATCAGAAAGGTGTGTACCTTTGGAAAGATAAAATACAAGATCTAATGTGTAAACGCTTGATTGAGACATGTAAAGTCGACGGCGTGTATAAGGTAGTTCATCATTCTTCCTAAATTATCACGAAATAAATACAGACGCCAAATCTAAGAGGTTGTTGCGCTACTGGTTGCTTTTTATGTGTATGTATGACGGTATATCTCGAAATGGAACCTAATGAAAAGTCACAATATATAATAATAACTGTGCGTTATCTGTACTATATTTAAACTAAGAAAAATACTATTTTCGTTTGCATAACCGGGCATGGTAATAAATATATTTTCAACAAAAGTATTATACATGGCCACCATATTTGGGTAAAATTATCATTTATGGCGTCGGTTGTTTTAGCAGATATATAAGAAAATTGTGGGTTCATTGTAACAGTGAAAACCTTAACATTTATATATAGGTTTTGTTTACAGTTAAATATTTTTACGTGTCCGATTTGGGAATAAACGTTTGCTTCACCTAACGTTGTTATAGTCTTGTCCTTATCACTCTAGTGTACTTATTGCTAGATTGATAGGGACAAAATATTATCACGTAGTAAATAAATAAGGATGAAGGCTAGTCTGCAAATGTCCTCTTGTTTTTGGTTTGCAGGCAAAACCAAACGTTTATTTCATTTTCCCAAAAATTAAAACAAAATAAAACAATAAAAGTAACACATTTTCCTACCCACGATTGAAAGTCTTAAATAAAGAGGGTACTTACAAAAAATTTTAATGCCTAAAACATCGCTTAAATCAAACATAAGGACTCAGTTTAATTCATACGAAATTCTAGTCATGCTACAATTTCCTTCTATTTAAGTGAAATTACTATGCACTATGTATTATTAATATGTATGGAGACTATTAATTACGTTATTAACTCTGTATCTACTGATTTTGCAATTCAATGTTAGAAGCAATAATAATTACTAAAGGAGAGGACAAGGATGTTAAAAATAATAAACTCAAGTAATTTTTAAGGTATCTACCTAAAATAGAGCACTGTTGGCCTAGTGGCCTCAGCGTGCGGCTCTCATACCTGAGGTCGTAGGTTCTATCCCCGGCTGTGCACCAATGGACTTTCTTTCTATGTGCGCATTTAACATTTGCTCGAACGGTGAAGCAAAACATCTTGAGGAAACCGACATGTCTTAGACCCAAAAAGTTGACGGCGTGTATCAGGCCATGAAGGCTGATCACCTACTTGCTTATTAGATTTAAAAATGATCATCAAAGAGATTCAGAAATCTGAGGCCAAGACCTAAAGAGGTTGTAGCGCCACTGTTTTTTTTTTTCATATACCTAAAATAAAACTAAATTATTAGTTAAAGAATAATTAACTAACTTTACTATTTTTTTAATATTAGACTTTAGTCCCGCGCTCCGCTCTTTTAATAATATGGGAAAGGGTCATTTTTGTATTTAATACGCTGATTTTGAGAAAAGTGTGTGAACAGCAAACGAACCTAAAACAATAGGCTATTTTAGTGTGTAAATAAAGTATTATTGAGAGTAAACTCAAAATAACTTTATTCATTTAGGTAAATAAGAACATTTATTAACGTCAAAAATAAGGTTAATTAATTGTAAATTTACATTTACTACCTGTTCGCAAGTCATGGGCGTAGAGGGCAAGAAGAACTGGCAAGAAACTTTCCGCCACTCTTTTTAATCGCTAAGTTTTGAGTCATAAAAATTGTTTGAACTGGAGCAAATCAATCACAAGGATTATTTAAATATTCGTCAAATTTATAAAAAGCTTTTATTAATCTACGTTTATCGAATGCTTTGAATTTATTTAGTGATAATTTTCTAATTTCGGTTGGGAGATTTTTGTAAAAACGAATACAATATAATAACATAATAACGAATAAATATAATCAGTTTAAAATATGGCCTGAAAAATAGATTATTATAGATAACTTGTATAAATCATTAATTGTTCAAAAAACCCAAATCAAAATATAGATTTTTAAACGTTGGCACAAAACGGTCACAGATTGAAATTCACACAGGTCACAGTGAAATTCCCATTGTATTAAATTTAATATTGACCAAGCAAGAATCACAGCTTTTGAATATTTTAATTTAAATGCCGTATCCTATAACATTAAGGCTATTCAAAGATTGGCAACCTCGCGATATATCGCAGTTGTTCAATAAACGTTTTGAATTGTTAAAGATTTCTTGATGGTGAGATCCAAAGTCAAAATTTGTTTTGACAAACCCATGAGAGTTACAACTTTTCCTTAGCAATGACTTGAAAGTTAGAAAGAAAAAAATCTTTATATGCAATAAAAAGGATATTTAGGTAAAAAGAAAATGCACTGTGCCCCACACTAGATAGATTGATTGACATTATAACGGTACTTGACAATATTTTCTGCATAACTATTGTTGAACAATAAGAATATTTTCTGTTTCAGTATAGGACAGGTTGCGAAGATGTTGTTTTTGTTGTGATGTTATGTGAGTTTTGGGACGTTAGTGGAAATTTAGTTTTTTTACTTAAACCATAGTAGAAGGAATGACTTATGAAATTAAAACATGCCTCGCTGAAAAAACTTTGGAAAAAGGTTTGCGTTGTGTATAATATGGTGTGGTTGGTATTTGTTTTCAAAAAAGTCTGCATATTGGTATTAAGTAGTTGTCTAACCGTTAAAAGCTTTGTTTCATTGTGCAATTTTGAAGTTGTGTAGCGAAAAGGTTTGAGTTCAAACCATGAGAGTTACAGCTTTTTCATAGCAATGATTTGTCTATTTACTTTAATTGCCTTTTGTAAGACTAAAATGCCAATCATTGTCCTCAGGTGGAATGGATAGATCCCTCAGGCGTGGTTGTTCCTCGAGTTTCAACCAACCGAGTGTTTGTACAGGAGCACTTTGTCCCCTCCTATAGGGCCAGGGTACCGGCAGCCGTGCTGGTCTTCACCCATGCAACAGTGGAAGATAGTGGTATATGGGAATGCCGTGCGGGGGGAAAGAAAAGAGAACTCTCGCTGTGTATTATTGGTAAGACTTCACTATGTATTATTTATTTATTTCCCACATAATTATTCTATATCTATCTAATAATATCTCTATATCTTAACAGTCACTACTTAGCTTTTAATATTTACTTAATTAAATTCTAAACATTTTTATGAAACATATTCTTAAGAATCTTGCTACAAGTGCGCATGTTCATTAGTTGCTCATTTGACTCGTTCGGTTGTTTACGAATTGTTACGAATTGACTCGCACATCTCCCCGAAGTGGGATGGTCGGAGTAGGGAATAGATTATAGAAGATGTTGTGACATGCGCCCGGGCAATTCCTTTGTTTAAGTTTGAAGTTATACAGTTTATGTAAAGTCAGTGAAGTACTTTATAGTGAATCAAGTCATTATTTAAAGGAGTGTTTAATTTCCTACCCTTAAACTAGATCAACTAGCCCTTACACTACTAATACGATAGAACTATTCAATAATACCTACACCGATAATTCTATAATTTAAAATATATAAAACAAAGTAACCTATATCTTATAACTATTATTATAACAAGCGGCTCTTGTTAACTCAGGCAGAGTAGACAGTAGTAAATCTTGTTTATGACGTTTATCGCTCGCGTGATTGACGCATCTTCTGACTAACGCATTGTATAAAGTCTTGATTGCACTGATAATCGTGAAGCCACAAGCTATTCGTAATATGAACCCAAGATTTCTGTAAGCCATTTAGCATATCTTATCTATGTGATGCGCAAAAGCATCGTAGAATTATAACTATTTCTCTTAATGTCGCTGTAAATCGGCGCTCTATGCCATTTGGTGATGATGGATCCAAAGTTAAACGTATCATACTTTGCTTTGCTGGTTTGAATAAGGTTGGAATATCGCTTATTTAGCCAGTATTTTTATCATTCCATTTCATACAATCTATCAATATGTATACAATATACGTTTAAAAAGTTTTGATAAGTTGTAAATATAAAAGATTTTTTAAAGTTGTTGATGGTGTTAGACGAAGACTGCGATTCAGTACAAGTTTACACGACTTATACAAGTCTTAAATATGTCTAAGACTGGTTTCAGGCTTTTTTTTATAGAAACCATATTTATTTATAATTAAACCTTGTTCACTTTGTCGAAGTAGCAAAATGTTTTATAATATAAGTAAAATATTACGAAAAAAGTTTCGATTTATTAGTGGTGTTCTGTGGTGTCGAGGATCGATTTATAAATACGATATCTTTAAGCACCTTTTGACTATGGTCGAGGTATGAATGTATGCCTATTTATGGAGAATGTAATGAATGCATCTGAAATCTGTTATCGTTCAGGTATTTGGTAAACGGTTGCCTTTTGTTTTGAGTGGTTGATATTCGCTAAGTTTTTCTATTTCTTTGGATTTGTACTCTATCGGTACTGTAATGTAAATTAAATGTTTTCTTATTTATATAATCAAAATCAATCTAAAGTTATTGTGTGACGTTACTATGTACAGGTATTTCCCATAAAATTTAAATATTTTTTGTAATTTTTACAAAAATATTTGAGCAAAAAATATTACAAATTACAATACGGAATTAACAAACCTGTGTTTTTACAATATGGAAATACAAATACTTCGAAAGATTTTTTATGAATACCAGAAATTCTAAGTGGCGTTGACGTATTTGCACTCAGGTCAGATACCTTCATAGAAACCATGATTTCGAAGTATTTCGTGTATCCACCAAAAACGCAATTTTAACGTGTTTGGTAAAATATATGTATTAACAAGGACATACTTTGTCTTTGGTATTAAACATCTGTTTAACTGTTTGAAGTCTGGGACAAAATCTTTGGAATTCAGTCAGTCTAAACCCTTACAAGACGTCAACCCTTAAAAGAGTGCGTTAAAATATTTGATAATATTTATTTATAATTACTATTTAAATTTATCATTATCGTATCCTTGGAAAAATAGGGTCCTTCAAGAAAAGAGCGTACCAATTCTTAAAAGGCCGGCAACGCACTCGCGAGCCCTCTGGCATTGAGAGTGTCCATGGGCGGCAGTATCACTTATTATCAGGGGGAGCCTCCTGCCCATTTGCCCCCTGTTCTAATACAAAAAAATCTAAGAAATATGTATTTGTATGCGTATGATAAATTCCGAGAAAAACGTTCGGTACATAATGCATCTCGATAATACCGATGAAATTGAGTATCAATTATCAGTATTAACTTTAGGTTTATGATTATCTTCCAATAAACTGAGTAAAGGCCACGTGCTTGTAGATTCGAAAAAAATCGAATAAAATTATAAGAAAAGAGAGAACACATATTTTTTTGTTTAATTTCTTTTCTTTCTGTCTGTTAGTATTTACTCGCTTATCTCTAAACTACTAAACTCTACACTAAACTTCTCAGTATAAAAATACGTAAAGGTAATAATAACAAAGATTTATAGGTACAATGTTGTTTCTTAAATGTAATAGAAGAAAATGGATTAACCGGCGTAAAGAGGCCGTCGTAGCTTCCATTCTTCTACGTACGAGTAACTCCCTTATTTGAACAGTCCATGATAAGTTCCGATCAAGTATGCATGTAACGATATAAAAGATTTCTTGTGAAATAAGGGAATATTAATTCCGAATGCCTTGAGACAAGGGGAAGCGGTGTGGAACTGACGAAGAATGAATTTTATTTAATCGGAGTATCTGTCTATAGCTTCGCAACTCAATATGTCTCTATGATGCTCGAGTAAATCCCCATTTAGCATCGGGGGCTTCTCTGGGGGTCTTAGAAAACACACATGAATTATCAAGATATAGGTATGCCCAGATTCTTGACAGATAACGCGAAAGGTTAATAGTGAGCCTTTTGTGATTTAAAAGCAACCCAAAATCACCAATCTAGGATATGTCTCAAATCAATATTTGTATGATGGTAATAATTGCAATGGATCTTGATTGTAAATTTGTAGGTCGTCAGCATATATGTGATAAAGTGAAGAGATATTAGAAGAAATAGAATTTATTAAAAGTAAAAATAGTAAAGGCGAAAGAATACTTTCTGGAGGCAGGCACCCCTGCAAAAACATAACACCAGCGACTCCTCAACTTTGATAAATATAGATTCTAAATGTAAAAATAGTGATTTGCTTAACATTTTTGGGGATAAATTGTTTCAATACAATAAATAATGGTGTTTTTTATGATAAAATAGAAACAAAGGAGCCCGCGGGTTGGCCATTATAGGCATTACCGCAGCCCATCAACCATATACAAAATGAATCCGTTGCCGTCGTTTGAGAAAGATCTCACGCGTACCATATCGCTCTATACGCGATTTTTAAGCTTTTCTGCCTTTCAACTCAAAACTTTTTTTGATGTAATAAATAAGAATAACAATTTACCTGCCAAGTACGTTAGCTACGAACTACAAAGGCTGCATTGAAATGTATTTAAGTAAATAATTTTTTCTTCAAGATCCAGCCGAGTTCGTAGATACGCCGACAGAAGTTACCGTGGACTTGGGCAGGTCCATAACACTCACCTGCCAAGCACGAGGCGGCCCAGAACCTACACTCGTGTGGTATAGAAGTGGAGAAATTGTTGTCGGTAGTATATATTTTTTTATTATCTTTTATTTCATATTATATTTCGATATTATACCAGCCTCGTGCTGATTTCTGCATAGTAATGAGGTGCGGGGTTAAAGTTTAATGCCAAAGCAACACTGCAATACTAATTGGATATGCATTTTAAAATTTACCTGAATGCACCTTATTAATGGTTATTGAATAGTAGGATAATTAAAATAGTATCACTATTTTCTCCATTTTAATTAAAAATTAATGCACTTGTTTAATGGTTGTTCCCTTAATTCGGTCCATTTTCAAAGGATAAAACAAAAGCAATTCCGGGCATGTATGGTTACGCACTTCTAAAATACATATTTCAGAATACTTCAAAAGTAATTATTATAATGAGTGTTACAGCCTCACTTTTTATATACAGATACGACCTCCAACTGTTTAAAGAAAGAGCTCCCTCGCTCAAAGGCCTGCAACGCACCCACTAAAATGGGTGTCCATCGGTTGCGATGACTTCCCTTTTTGGACGTGTCATAGGATCGTTTGATGCCTTGTTTATCAATTTATATAAAAAATAAGAATACATTTAAAAGCAGAATAAACCATATATTTTTACTCCTTACGGATCGTCGATTTCTTTTGCAGAAGATAGTGCCTCATCCAAATACGTAGTGACTACAAAATTTAACAGTCAAGGATTTGAAGGTCTTCTCACCATCAGATCGCTTGAAAGAGAGGATAGTGGTATCTATACTTGCTCAGCGATACAGGCTAGCCCTCATGACGAAGACTGTACCGCAAACAAGAGTACTAATATTACACTTAACATTAACTGTAAGCATTTGAATAAACTAATTGATAAGCTACTTGTTTATTATGAAATTATAATGAAAGATGACTGTTTAATTTCGTTCGATGATATTGATTTTAGATGCACCTGTATTCTCTGATGGCAACGATACAAATGTAGTTTTCGTCAAGGAAAATGAAAAGTAAGTGATGATAAAGTTTGAAGTCTCTATAGCATTCTGTTGTTCCCACGTATCAAGAACGATTTCATGAATAACAATTTTACAGAATTGGAATACTTTTGTTCTAGTTTATATAGAACAATGGTCTTCTAGAAGCAATCTGGAGTTTCACCCCTTCGTTGTTGATATCCCCAGGTCCACGATTTGGTTCGTCGTTTTTTATATAAACAGCAAAGGAACTCTTTGCCCTCTTCCATCTATCCTAGGCAGTATAATATGGGTTCATTTATTTATGGGCATTGGGCGATTAAATAGCATGACCAATTAAAAGCTGCGCGCGCGGCCAATAATAATCAAAATCAAAATCAGATTAGGGTAAAAAACCGCCTTCACCGGAGAAGGCGAGGACGTTTACTTTGTACTTCGCTTACTACAGTGAGCTTCTGTCCTGCCCTTCAGGCGATTGGCCACCCCGCGACGGCCCAATCTGAGGTCCGAGTCTCACAGGAGACGCCCTTGCGCTAGTCGTGGGTAAAACGCCCATTCAGGCCGAGGTACGCTCGCCAAAACAGGCCGAGCTGAGCTGTGAAGGCACTTAAGGCCAACAGCGAGATTCCTTTCAAAAAAAAAGAAGGCGATTAAATAGACATTTCCTGGACAGGGGTGTCCATTTCACTTAATATCAGGTGGGGTTGTGGCCAACCCTCGGTCCAGTTCTGTATAAAAAAAGTGAATTGTTATCAATTCGCTTCCTCTAGATGTGCATTTCAAATACATATTCGAAAACAAAAATATTCTTTATCATACGTGTTAGCCTTCATTTGCATACAACATCACAAAAAATGCCAAATTCTTTAAGTGTCAAAATTTGACCTAAGACCTTCCCCTTTTTTACTGAATCTAATTTTTATAACTGTGTGGTACTTATGTAATAAATAAACTTTTGTGTAGTGTTGAATATATTTTAGAAGTAATAATTAAGAATTTATTAGTAGTTTTACCTATCGACAGAAATCATCGTTTAATGTTCTTCACATCAACACTAACTATGCAGTTTTGTATCGCGCAGCCCGGTCATAACGACCAATATTTAAAAATCGATTATAAGCTATCGCGGAATATGGTTAAAAGGAGTATCTAGAATAGCCATAGCGCAAAATCACCTGCAATCATGAGCATACCCCACATACAAACCTTCACGTACATACCCTCACTTTTACATCATCACACAACACAGCCAAATTAGATATTACTTAGTTAAATGTATTGAATAATTTTATTGTACCCATTGTAAAAGTTTGAACCTTTGTAAATATTATATATTCCATCTTTGGCTATAATTTTATTGAAATTGTTTGTTATTATATATAATTTGTGTTAACAGTAGGGTTACGAAATAAATAAATAAACTAATTAGGCCATTTGCCATCTTCTGAGGTACCAATAGTTGTACATAATAATATATACGTAGCGACACCTACAATCTGTGCCTACGAATCACTATGATGGCATCATACTCTGAAAGGCGCTAACGAAGTTATTCTGGTTTCTAAGGATATATACCACTTCTTTACCGTAGCCACTGGGGCCTTCGGTCCTCCCTTAACGTTGGAGGAAGCGCTCAACATACCAGAACAAAATGAAATAATTCTTGCTGTTTTTAATTCCAGTGCCGAACTAACTTGTTCCGTTGAGGCGTATCCGGAGCCGACATATCGTTGGTTCAAAGAAGTTGGTAGTGATTTATCTGAAATTCCTCAAACTGAAATAAGGGTAGCCGAGGATGGCAGCAAGGCTGTTATAATTTTAAAAGTGGAGAAGTCACTATTTGGTCAAAGATTTGTCTGCCGTGCGACAAATCAGTATGGGAATGTTGATAAAGTATTTGCAATTCAAAAACTGGAAAAGCCACAAGCGCCAATCGAGGTATGTTTTGATATTTAGCGTTTACTAGTTAGCAGGACAACTGATTTTTCTGTAAAAATCTTGTGGTTAATGTGATTAAGATGCGTAATAAAGACTGTAGGTTGTGTTAATGGACAATTTCTTATCTTATAAAAATATTTCTTGAGTAAACATAACCCAAGAAAAAATTATTATTTTTAAATGATTGCCAATTAATGAAAATTATTATTTCAGCTAAATATAAACAATTCTTCATACAATTCAGTACAATTAAGAGCAACTTGGGAGGAGGAGGCGTTTTATCAAGTTGCAGGTATACAATAGTTTATAAAAAAAAAGTTTCAAGCATATTTAATATTTGCTTCTTATTTCTTTAAGGAGTTGAAATTCAATACGTGCAAGCCAGTGGATTAAAAGGAAAGGAAATTCTGAATGGAGAAAAGCAACTGAAATAGAAGTAAAGTCAGAAGAGTTTGATGGTATAGAGAGTGAAAGTGGTGGTATGTAAGTCCAGTAGTCGCCAGGTGAAGGGATTGTGCATGTTTTTACTAAAACAATTTTTCATAGGCAGTCTATGATATGAAGCAGTTACATTATTAATAAAATCCAAGATTTTACAGTTTTTAAAGTTAGAAGCATTTCATATAAATTTCTTTTTTTTGACGATCATAAGTGTACAATGTGTTACCTATATGATTAAATGATTTTTGAATTTTTTGAACAATTTAGAAAATCAATCGTTGGACCATACAAAGACACTGTTTTAAAAAAGTCTCGGTAATAAATATAATTTGTAAAAATTTCTGCAAAAAATTGAGTTTTATCTAGCTATTTAATTTCATCTAAAATGTTCAAAGTTAATGTATTTTAAAATGTTATATTAGGACAAAGGTTTCATAATAACATTTGTTTATAATACATATAAGCTATCCCCGCGAACTTCGTTTCGCCTTATTATGATTTTTTTACTTAGTCTACCTTTTTAGTAGCTAGGTACATACAAATATAGACATTAGACACTATTCGCTTTTTCGCAATAAGAACTGGTTTTTAAGTTTTCCTTGCAGTTTTTCAATTTTTTTTCTTCATAAAAATCTTTCTCCGAGTCCAAGGAATAAGTAAAAGAAATACTAGAATTGGTCCAGCCTTCGGGTTTTGCGCTTAGCGATATATTTTGCTATTCAGTTATATTTAATTAGATAACAATATCAGACGTATGATTTACTTATATTTCTTATAAATATATATATTATTTCTTTAAATCATTATTTTATTTCTCCACAGTTGCTCTTATAACATTGCCAAAGCTAGAGGAAGACACGTCATATTGGCTGCGTATTCGCGCAATCAATGAAGCCGGATGGTCCTCTTGGTCCGCACCAGTCAAAGGTGCCACAGAGCTTAAACCGGAAGTGGAGGATATTGAGGAAAGCCCTATAATTGAGGAAAGTCATGATTTTTTCGCGCGTTTATACGGCCTACTATTCGCTGGGGGAGTGTTGGTTATAGCTTTCGGATCTATGTTTATAGTGAGATTGGTTTAGTTATTTATGAGTCACGGTGTCATTAAAGTATTATACAAGGATTGTTTTAATTTTATTGTTTTAATATATTAAGTTGATAAAAGTACATTTTAATGATACTTATTAAGTAGTGCGCTCGCAAAAAATATATAAGTATTTACATTTTGAATTAACAAGATGTTGATGGATTGCCCAAGGTATCAAAAGTGTAGAATCGATGTGAAGTGCAGATTAGGAGTTAAAGTGACTTATAACGGCTTAGAAAACTTGATACATGGCATGAACGCCAGAATCCAATTCATTTGTTACTGTATTCAGGTCGCAAAGGTTGCCGTGAATAAAAAAATGTAAAAAATAGGAAGAAAATATAAATAAACTCTTCCTATGTGGAAGAGTGTCGACCCATAGCGCCTCGGTCCTGGAGCGCAAGCTGCTATGGATTAGGGAAGCTTAAACTATTTAAAAAATCAAGATGCTCTATTTGTCCTTTTAAATAAGGCTATTTTAGTAAGTTCAAAACTGAATTTTGCATATAATCTAAGTAAAACGTTTAAATATATATTTTGACTTCTATACTTCGTTTTTGTCTAACTCAGTATTTCCCAACCTTTTTTGTGCCATGCCCCATCTTAACCTTTCTAAAACTCTTAAGCAATGTAATATACATAATATTTAATAGTAAAAAAAATATTTTTTCTCCTAATAAAGCTTAAATGATAGGTTTAAGGAAGAAATTACTAGGAAGTTGTTAACAAAACACAGTAAGTAAATTTTCAAAATGAGAAACTGAAATTAAAATTCCACGTAATTTTAACAAATTTTCCCTCTAAATTTTTAATTTAAGAGGCCCCTTTAACAATCAAATTGCCAACCTGTGAGGCATGGGCCCCACGTTAGAAACACTGGTCTAGCTTGTTAAATTATTATATAAAGAGCGGTACTTCTATTTACTAGCACAGTGGTAAAAGATGTCCTTTTAACATGCATCATGGTAGGGGAAATATCCAACTAACTAAAGATTAAGAATAGGAAATAAAACACGATTTATAAATCACCTTTATTAGAGGCTTTCAGTGTAACATAATATCTGCAACCAACAATACCCTAAATGTGAAAATGCTATGAATTTATTTATTTACAAACAGATACATTCATACAGGAGCTACAAGCAATATAAGTAATAAAATGTGAGCCTTATAAACGAAATTTTTAAAGAACTAACCCATATAATGTACCCCTAAGACCGATAGACGCGGTCACGCAGAAAGGTCAATGCCCATTTGTAAGCTATACATATTATAAATGAACATAGTTCGTAATTAATGCTACGAAGAACAGCTGAGTTAAATTAAGGTGCTTTACAAGCGATCACAATAACTATGAAGTACTTAAAGCAAATGAATGGAAAAGGAAACATTGGAATAGGAAATTCAGTCTTCCCGAAGAATATAACTAGGTAATTGAAAATTCTACCCAAATACAATTGACGGACGTTTTACAAATACAATCATTTATTTCAAATATCTCGAAATTTGAAATAAATGATTGTATAGTGGAAATAAATTCACATTTAAGTAATAAATAAATAAAATTATCATGCTATGCTCGGTCTTGGCTTGGGTTTTATTAAATTACCCTGATCGCAACCCTTTCTGGAAATGCATCTATTATTTTTACAACACGCAACCAGCTAGCTTGGTTCTGAAACTTACTCCTTATTCTTCTGGATCTTTGAATGCCTTATCATGATCTGACCATCTTATATTATGCATCGAAGATATGAAGCTTTCAGTTTCATGTCCGTGGAACATTATATTCGGGCTACGACAGAATTGTCGTGTGGAAAACTAACGTCTGATTTTACCGTAGTCTGATTCTGTAGGCACTGACAGTGGTCAAATAGTAAGACACCAGTGGCAGTGTATTTTGGTAATTAATAAAACATTTATAATAATAAACGAGTCCACTAAACCACCTTTTTTCAGCTTTGTAAAAAAAATATTTTTATAAATATAACCTGATCGTCAAAGGACAAGTTTAGCCAAACAAGCTGAATTAGTACTGGGCTGCAGGAGCTTGCAGAAGCACCGCTTTGGGACAAAAAGGTTTTACAATGTACACACACCACAGTGTACACTGTACAGGGCAACGATACTACTGAAAATTGGCTACTTCTTGTGACTGTATATAGCAAACGAAGGGCCAGCATGGTGTAAGAGACTAAAATCATAAAAATTTTATAGCAGCATCTGGTACAGTCGTATAATAAAATAAATTTACGTAAATGGAATGTAAAGAAATACATATATTTTATTTATATGAAGCCTAGGATAACTTACTTTCGGAGTCTTAAAGGATTAACAAATTAAGATAAGTCCAATGCTAGGACGCAATCAAATAATAAATTAAATTAATCAAAGATGCACGTTCGTTTAATAGATTTTTAACTGATTAACAAGGTTTTATATCTCAAATTATTTATACAAAATACAATATTATCAATATCTCGAATATTTGAAATAAATATTGTATAGTGGAAATAAATTCACATTTAAGTAATAAATAAATAAAATTATCATGCTATGCTCGGTCTTGGCTTGGGTTTTATTAAATTACCCTGATCGCAACCCTTTCTGGAAATGCATCTATTATTTTTACAACACGCAACCAGCTAGCTTGGTTCTGAAACTTACTCCTTATTCTTCTGGATCTTTGAATGCCTTATCATGATCTGACCATCTTATATTATGCATCGAAGATATGAAGCTTTCAGTTTCATGTCCGTGGAACATTATATTCGGGCTACGACAGAATTGTCGTGTGGAAAACTAACGTCTGATTTTACCGTAGTCTGATTCTGTAGGCACTGACAGTGGTCAAATAGTAAGACACCAGTGGCAGTGTATTTTGGTAATTAATAAAACATTTATAATAATAAACGTGTCCTCTAGCGGACCTCTTCTTTCAGATTTGTAAATAATAATATTTTATAAATATAACCTGATCGTCAAATAAGACAAGTTTAGCCAAACAAGCTGAATTAGTACTGGGCTGCAGGAGCTTGCAGAAGCACCGCTTTGGGACAAAAAGGTTTTACAATGTACACACACCACAGTGTACACTGTACAGGGCAACGATACTACTGAAAATTGGCTACTTCTTGTGACTGTATATAGCAAACGAAGGGCCAGCATGGTGTAAGAGACTAAAATCATAAAAATTTTATAGCAGCATCTGGTACAGTCGTATAATAAAATAAATTTACGTAAATGGAATGTAAAGAAATACATATATTTTATTTATATGAAGCCTAGGATAACTTACTTTCGGAGTCTTAAAGGATTAACAAATTAAGATAAGTCCAATGCTAGGACGCAATCAAATAATAAATTAAATTAATCAAAGATGCACGTTCGTTTAATAGATTTTTAACTGATTAACAAGGTTTTTAAATAATTAAATTGTCAAATTAAACACTTGTTTAAATAAAACGGTAAACTTGAATGTAATAACTGACTTAAGGTAAAGCGGTAAGTTATGCTAGGCAAATAATAAATACAGTACTTTGAAATAAAGAAAGAAATATTTTATAGATACCTATTTTACTTAATCTAAACCAAGAGTATTAATTTAAATAAACTATATTTTCATAAACTACAATTAAATTTATATATTAAGAGTATATCACTTTACAATACTTAAAAAATAATTGCTTTGGATAAAATGATTATTAAACAAAATATTTACACAGCAAAAAAAGCCAGGGACCAACTCCTACATCTAATTTTTATTTGATATTTTCATTTTGTATTTTATACAATTGTATCTACTGCAGCTAACTTTAAAGAACTTTGTTCTGTAAGAGAAATTATATATATAAATTTTCGTAGTCAGGTATTGAAGTAAATAGGATAATCACTATAGCTATCTAAAGGTTATTGTCATAATAGATGTCAGTAGAAAGTTGACAGCATAAAGTACGAAAAATTAATATCAAAACGGACGTCAGAATATCTGAATCTAACCAGTATTTATTTTAGACGTAATATGTTCTTATATCGGCGAAATTGCGTGAAATTGGTCAAAATTGTTTAGAAACATAATAAGTAATTATACAAGAAGAGACAATATTTACTTGAGATTTATACAATCTATCCCTTATTCATTGAAATACTTGAGAAACGTGAAAAGTGCCGTTGGCAAAATGAAGCCATGAAGCTAAGAAGGTTGGTTGGCAAGGTTTTGACAAAGTTCGTCAATCAGAACCGCGCAGTTCTGGATGTTCAGTGGATGTCTACAACCCAAGGATGAACCTCCAGAGTGATCCTAATGTGAGTCTATGACGACGACAGAAACAAAATTCTGATTTATGAATAAAGGTTTTATTAATCGGACGTCTCTAGCAAAAGAATTTTCCAAAATGATTTGGAAGCAGCAATTAATATTTGTAATTTAAATAATAAGCAAGTAATACCGCTAAATCACACTTAATTATAACATTAACATAATTACGCACAAAATTTTCAAATAAATATATAATTTATATTCTTATTATTCTTAACGTTACCTTATAATGATTTTTATAATTGCAGTCGAAATAGCTAACATTTATAGATTATATAGTATACTGACAATTAACACCAATAAACACTTATTTTATCAACAGCCAAATAAAACACCTTTATGTAAATGGAACGTCTAATCTTTTTGTACAATTAGTAATTAAAAATAAATATAAACAAGCCCGATTAAGACAACGCAGTTGACTGATTTAACAATTGAAAACATGTACTCCGACTAAAGATTGGAACTAAATATTTAATTGATTAAAGTGTACAAGAAACATATAATAAGAAGTATGGACGAAATAGCAAGTCTGTTTGCGAAGTCTGTTGTAGGATTGGGAGTGACTTTTATCCATTCAGAAAATCCAGCTGCGTTGCGCGTGCGCACTCGGACGTGGTATGTTGTGTCATTTGCAAGTGGGCCTAATGTGAACAATGTATCTGGAAAACCAAATTGCATTTTAAATATACCCCTTTGTTTTTGACTCCATTTCAATGTCCAGTTTTCAAGTAAGCAGATATATAGATAGATACATACATTCTTAATTATATACAAGCATAATATAAACAAAGAGCTTAAAACTGGGCTACACAGATGAAAAAACAATATTTTACAACATACGATCGGCTTTATCCTATAATGCTTTCTTTCTACTTAGAATAACTACATTCAAATTGGGATTCATCGTTTGATGGTGACATTAGAGTTTAGGCCAATGCTAATTGAACTAATTATTTTGTCAATCATTAAAATGATGAAAAGTATTCGATAAGGATATCCCTACTCCACTCTCCCATTTGAGATATCAATACCATATTCACATCCTTTGGGATCTGAATATGGTTTTGATAAATAATATCATTGATATTATTTATAGAAGTCTTGTTAATGGTTCATTGATATTATTTATAGAAGTCTTGTTAATATGATATTACTTTAGGTACATTTTTGTTTGAATCTACACTCTCAACTTATTTTTTTTTATAAGCACTGTGTAAGCACTCTTCCAGGTCTACTATTATAAAATTGAACATATCGAGAGGACCATGAATTTTTATAGTAACCAACGTATAATACTAACCATTAAATTCCTTGATATCTTTGATAAACTCGATAGCTGCATCCCAATCAGCTAGAAATCCTTCTTGTTCAGCCACTACTTGGAATGAATATCCTGAAATGTTTAATAAATATATTGAAATTGTAATGGAATTAATTAATATAACTATGATGACAGGGAAAATGTATAGGCGATGTGGCAATTTTGTCTAATACAAACTATTTGAAGCGACTTAGGTAGGTATACCTAAACAACTTAACGTCGGCTTTATAGTAACGTGAATTTTATTATCTTAAAAGAAAGGGTTTAGTTAAGTCAGTATAAATATAATTGGCTTTTGTTTTTGCTATTAGATGTTTATATTTTAAACATAATCTAAGCCAGTCCTTATCAGTATACTGAAGCACTTTTAGTTTTGGCCTAGGGGTTTAGTCGAAATTCGAATTCGAACGGCGTTGGACCAATTTTCTTTCTACGAGTATATGCGCAATTAACATTTCTTCTACGGTGAAGGCAAAATAAAAAATATATATGGATATTCTAAGTAGGTAAGACCATGTTTGTATGTTTTAATTATATTTTTTAATAAACGTGTGTGGACCTTTCTGTGTCACGATTATCGCTTTCTTAAGAATGTCTACTTATAAAGATTACAGAAGGTCTGTAATAGTCTTTAAAGCCCGAGCTATGAAGAGCTTTTGTAATTGATATAAGTTACCTAGAACTGTAAGATTTTTTGGGTCCTCAGACATATCTTCTTCCGTTGTAGCCATATTACAAGTGGAACAAGTCACATTGAATGTAAGCTCAGTTTTCGATTTAGATACTAATTCCACCTGAAAAACAGAGATAATGGTTTTAGTTTTCGTGTATTTTATTATTAAATTTCACTTTATCGGGATTGGGGTAGCATACAGGCGATACATTACGTTATGAGATATACCCGCTGATATCTGTACTAATACTAGCTGACCTGGCAAAGTCGTTTTGCCATGTATATTATTTCTAGGAAACATTTTAGTTAAATAAAAACAACTACCTACTATAATAAAAAATAGGGGTTGATCATAGAGGGGTGGCATTTAACGTTTGTATGTATTTTTGTATGCTGTATCATAAGAAAATAAAAACAAAAAGTTTTGTCTAAAAAATAAATATTTAGCGGTGGGACATTTAGGGGGAAATTTTATAAATAGATGTTGTCCGATTCTCAGACTTACTTAATATGTATAAAAATTTCATAAGAATCGGTCGAGCCGTTTCGGAGGAGTATGGGAACGAATATTGTGACACGAGAATTTTATATGTAAAAAGATTTATATTTTGTATACAAGTTGAATAAAAAAAATACCATTAAAGTGCTGCATTATGTGATACCCGTATGCTAAGTTATAAAGTATAACCCACAGACAAGTACTTGTATATTAATAAAAACTATATTAAAATCCGTTCAAAAGAACTAAACCTACATTTTTAAACAGATATTTAATAAAATTATATTAACGTATTAGTGTTTAAAGCGATTCATGATACTTACAAAATCAGGAGAATTTGGTTTATTTCCAGCCGAAACATCATACAAAATAGTGACCTGTCCCTTACTGTTGTTCGCTGAACATTTATATTCGCCGAACGCAGTCTCGTCAAATGTTCGCAAAATGAACACTGAGCTATTGCCATCCTCTGAGGTCATCACCTAAATATATATGGATCTTTATTTAATCTTTAATAATGTAAAAACATTTTTAAATCTAAGATTTAAGGTAAAAGTAATTTTTGTTGAATTGATTATGCACTTCTTGCACTTATCGCTTAGTATTTCTTTTTTTTCCTTACTAGGGTTGCCTGGAAGATATCGCTTTTTAGCAATAATTATTATATTACATTTCGCTTCATTTGAAATATATTAACAATCAAAAATACCATGAACATAAGTTCATGGTATTTTTGATTGCAAGCACTTACCGTATCAGGATCAGTGATTAGTTCGTCAAATCCATTTTCAGTTCTGTACCAACGGAATGTGGGAAGAGGGTTGGCAATAACGATGCAGGTTATATTTTTGCTGAAAACATTCAGGAGTATTAAATTTAAATCATAATTAGTACTTAAATGAATTTTGGGTCCTTTTATTAAATGTTACGATGCGGGGCGGGGATTGAATTACGCGTTATTGTTAATATTATTTTCGACATGCTGCTGGTCCTGCTCCATAGGACAATCATAGAGCCTGGACAAAATCAAATTGGTTGCTGATTTTTTGCTTTAACATATTTTTGTTATTTCTTTTTTTTAAATTTATAATGCTACAAATGTAATTATTTTATTGTATCTCACACACTGTTTTGTTGTGTTTTTTTAATATTTTTATTACTCTTTAATGTTAATATTCTACGGTTTCGATATTTGTAAATATGTGAGGAACATGTATACTAACTTTTTTTAGTATAGTAGTTTATTCTAAGAGTACATTGTCTTCACATATAATTATTTAACAAATGTAACAAAATATTGTAAACCTATTTTAAAAAGAGTAAGTGTGGAGTTTCTTGCCCATTCTTCTCCACACGAAACTACCTTTTGGAAGGGGCAACTAGAATCTTCTTTGTATTTTTTTTGACGTTCAAAAGTGCCATTTTAGATGGTCTAATTGAAATAAATGATTAGACTTTGACTTTACAGTACATAATAGTAACTTTTAGCTATAAAGAGTCACTGGTCACGGTGGTCACGAAACGTTTTCCAATTGGGTACAGAAAAACGTTACGGCGCGTTACACACAAATCCATTGCAAAAAACTTAAGTGGAAATGTAGGTACAAATGAGGCTTTATATATTAGTAGTTTTGGTTATGTTTCGTCGCTATACAAGCCGTAGAGTAAAATGTCTAGATGATGTCTCCACAATTAATCCTTCCCTATATGTCAGAAATATAACTGGTGAAAGATTTCAAGATCGATTCTATAGTTCTAAGAATCCTGTAGTCCCTTCAAATCTTTTAGTCTTTATGTTTTTTAAAAAAGGATACTTACGTTTCATTGATGATCGCGTAAACTTCTTCCGCCTTATATTTGGAGTAGGAAACTTCATTGTTTTCGTCCACCAAGAAGGGTTTATCTGAAATAATTTATACCAAACATTCATTTACTAGTACATTTAAATGTAAACTTGTAAACTTTAAATCTTTTACTGAAATTGATAAGTTTTATCTCCATCGGAATTGAAAAGAACTCGGTTTCTTTGTACCTAGGGGATATGTGCAACGGCGAAGGCCAATGTTGTTTGCGATACCAGAACCAGCCTGTTGCACATATACCCGACAAAAGACGTTGCGCTTACTGAATGCCGTCTCCGGTCTTTAATCATTATATATTCGCAGAGTTGACAGTACTGTCAATTGTACAAATGTCTGTGTATATTATGTATTTAATATTATATATTTTATTTTGTTTCACATTATTGTATTAGTTTGGTACTGTAAGGATAGTGTATGTATTTTGTGAATAAATAAATAATGTTTTTATTCATATATGTACACTATCCATCCAGCTAGGAACGTCTTATGTTTGGATAGCTTTATATTCATTGCGGCGGCATACAGACAAGCACGTAAATGAAAAACAATACCAAGATTTTAATAATAACAATAATTTCAAAAGAATATATAAAGTTCTAATCAAATTTAAAGAAATATTAATTTTTACTATCGCCAAATTTTATGTTTACTTTCTCATCCCCTAGGCCTTTTTTTAATTGTTGGGAAATCAATTTATTGACCCCCGCCGGGGCAACGATTTAAAAGTGACGCAGGGAGTGTGGAAGTCAGTCTGTATGGTGCAATGGACACCTACCCACTAAAACCCAACAGCCGCATCTGTTCACTATGGACGGGAGGTGCGGTAACAGTTTCCCTTAATCCGTGCCCCGTCATAAGCGTTTGCTGTGTGAGCCCAACTTCGGTGTTGCCCAACTCGGTGCGAAGGTCACAGTGGAGTTCGTGAGTAATCGCGTCGTTCCAGGCCTTTTTAGCGTCGAGGGTCGGCGCCTGTATCCCCTAGGCCTAGAGTAACTTGTTTGTATCATTCAAATTAAAATAACGATTCGATACTTACGGTTGACGTTCAGTTGCACCCGTTTATCAGCGAAATGAGACAATGCCTTCTGAGTCACTCTGCACACGTACTCATTGGTGTCCCGATGCGTCAAGTTCTTAATCTCGAGCTGATGGTTGTCCGCCTTCACCCGTATTATGTACTTTTTGGGATCATCTGGAAGAGAAACGAAAGTTAGAACCGTTGTAAATCCTTGTTGCTTTGAAGAAAACGGTGTACACGCACATGATCTCACATGTAAGAGGCATTATAATTATTGAATTTAAAAAGTTTCATTGCGCATTGCTGCGTCTGTACAGTAACGGTTGCACTTCGGTCATCTATGCCTCCTCCACTCACTGCCGAAATCTATCCAGTGATGTCTCAATGGCGATAGGAATTCCAACTCGAATGTCAATGTTGAGTTTGTTTACATGAAATTGCATCTTCAGAAACGCCCTAAGAATAGCATGATTTAAAGTTAACACTCAGCGCAACAAGTAAATATAAAAAAGTTTAACCTGATGGGCCTCAATTTGACGAGTTTTCGCTACAGTGATGATTTAAATTAAATGTAATAAAACCAATAAATAAACATAATACGAGTACGACACGTAGTGCGCGGATAGAAGACACGCTCTCTCTGTCGGTCGCCAACAGTTGTTATTTGAAAATGTGTCGTGACCGCGAGCGGCGAGTCCTCAACGCGGACGCCACCGCTGGCCGGCGGGCGACAGCGCATCCGTGGCTCTAAGTTAGTAACTGCGCGGTGCGCACTAAACGATTGTTTCAGTGATGCTAACTCGTGCAGAATGTTCCCCGTAGAACCAACTTTAAATACCCCTAAAGTTCTTAGTTTTACACTCATTTCAAATATGAGTATATCATAAAAAGTACATAGAAGTAGTATAACATTCCGATCTTGGAGTTGAATATTTCAGATATAGTCACGTTTTTTGTGTATAGAATTTGGATCAGTTTGTAGGTCGAGTTCTAAGGCTGAGGCTTAATATAAATTGTTTTCGTGCGTTATTAAAAAAAATCAAGTGTTTAGTAAATAAATGAGACTAAGACTTCTTCATTCCAACTAAATTTGGGGGGATAATCCCCAAGTTGACATCACTGGAAAATTTTCAAATAACGGCAGTGAATAGAGGCATAGTTGGCCTATATGCCACCGCTACAAAAGTTTAAAGTATTTGTGTTTTTTGTTTTTATTAAAAAATCCTTAATCGATATCCCAAAATAAGGTTTTATGCGGGTCTGATCACGTACTACATAAGAAAAACGAACATGAGAATCAGTCTCATAATTGTATGCTCTTCCCATTTACACCACTTATACACAAATCTACCTTTTAAATTATAAAGTCAACTTACGAAGACAAACTTATATGAGCTTCCTATTGACACACTCTGATTATATATCCTTATTTCTTCACAGACTATATAAAACATTCACAGTAAATACTCACTAGTAATAGGATCGTTTTCCATGTACCACTGTACTATAGGTGCCGGATGACCTTTTGCAACACAATCGAACTTGACTGATTTCCCTTCTTCACCCTCGATGATTTCATATTTATTGGGTATCATTGCTTTTACTGAAAAAGAGTAAAAATTACTTAATAAGTAGTGGTTTTAACAGATTTCAAAAAATCAAGGTTAATTTTTAATAATTTTAAATAAGATAAGCCAAATACTTCACATATATTAGTTTTATTATTTATTTTACAGGGAACAAATGCGCAAGACGCTAATTTGATTTTAAGTGATACCGCCCAGCTGCCCGTGGACGGGCACTACTAGAAGGCTCGAAAGTGTGAAGAACTGCTACGCTAATTCCTTGAAGGACCCTACGTCGAACTGGTTCGGAAAGACTTAATGGGCAATTAAATATTAACTTTCCAAGTTTTGTTGAAAAATAAAACTTTAAAGTAGCAAATAAATGTCAAAAACTTCCATTTAAATCATATACATTTCGGCGATTCGTAATTGTTAGAGCACGACTCGTTTTATTCATAACATAAATTTAAGTTAAGCAGTTGAAATTTTCCAAATATTAATTAGCTCTTTTCAAGAGTAATCTTCAGGAATGTTACTGGGTAATTTATTAAATAACTTTGTTCTAATTTGTTTAGTACAAGAAATGAGACAAAAGTTTGTAGGAGTTATCCTTTGCGGAACGGGCGGAACCTCGAGGAAAACCAACTAGCCTACGAAATTTTAATTAATTAAGTATATACTTACCGTTTAAAATTAAAAAGCGAGTTATAGTATCGATTATAAAGATATTTACTTTGTCGATTTTGTATGTGGGTGTCAAAAGCATTACGTTGAGACCATGATGAAAGGCACTCGAAAGGAGTTACGCAAATAATGTAATTAATTCGCTTCTTTTAAATAAGTTGTTTAAGATATTCTAAGCTTTAATATCGCTTTTTTATCAAATTTAAATTTAAATTTTATTTTATATGTTATAAAGCGCTCACTTCGTCGAACTTCTGTTGCATCTTTGCAGGATAAGCTTAGTAATTTTATTTTTCAAAAAATTACAGTATTTAAAATTTTATTAACCTACATAGTAATAATAAAAAGAACCTTAAACGCTGGCAGCATTTCCTCGCTGTATTGCAATACTAATTCGTTGAGCGAGGAAAGCACCAGCTCTGGGGTCACCGGTACTATCTACCAGGCGGCAACTTAAATCTTTTTTTATCGCCTTTGCACTTGGACCTCACAGAGCCTAAGAGTCTCTACTCCAAAGGGACCAAATCGAAGTTAGAGAAAAGGCTATTTGAGTCGTTTCTTATTTTCCGCCTGCTCTGCGGCCGCCCCAGCCTTTAAAAATCGATAATTTTTCAGACATAAACTGTTTGAGACAGGGTATTAAATACAAATTGTCTTACCCCCAACAGTGATTTCAATAGTTTCATTCAAGGAGCCCGCTCTACAGGTCCAGTTGCCAGTATCTTCGATCATTGTCTCTTGAATGATGAGAGCTACTAAGCTGCTCACGAGCGAATCGTTCTTGGACCTTTCCACGTAAACCCTGGTGTTTTTGGTAGAGCGGCCCTCTACGACATCTCCGTTTGGTGATAGCCAGTCTATTAACTGGAAAGTAATAATTATTTTTTAGTATTTATCTTAATATATATATTTCTTGTGTGCGTGTGTATGTGACTGAACTCCTCCTAAACGACTGGACCAATTTTGATGAAATTTTTTGTGTGTGTTCAAGGGGATCTGGGAATGGTTTAGATTCACAAATCAGCCTGGCAGATGGCACTGCAGTCGGTACTTTCATACTTTGCTTAATATCCTAATCGCTTTAAATATCATGCAGGACAACGTCTGTGGGGTCCACTAGTTTACCTATATAAGTTTAATTGATTTCCTTTTGCTCACGCTATAATTAATACTCTCAACTAAATATAAACCCATATTACAACATATTTTATTGCAAAATTGATCGAGCATGTAAATATTAAAAAAAAAATTGTTTTAGAATGCTCCTTATTGTTTTATGACAAGCCACAAATTTTAAAAGGTAATATTCACTGAATTAAAATGCATTTAATAATTAAAAATTATTAAGTGCGTTTGTCTTTCAATTATTATTAGATCAGGACTTATATTACCTCTACCACATACATTTCAAATATCATAATTGTGTACTATATAATACCTCAGGCATATTTTGTCCTTTGCAGTAAATAGCTCGTTTGACCCCTGCGTTGTATACGGAGGGTCTCGCCATCACGTGCAGGTATGGTTCTCCATCATTTGGGCTTGTTGATAATACTGAAAATTAAGTTTGTTGTTTGGTAGAGTTTGTTGAAAAAATAATTTCCGTAGAGTACATACAATTAATTAAGAAATTTCCATGAAGTTTAAGGTCTACAATGTTTATATAATATTTTTATTTTCATCAGATAATAAGTAGTCGCCGGCCATAGTAGGTAAAAGTACAAATTTCTGGCTTTTTTAGAAGCTTTCATAAGCTCTTCTCACTTATGCTACTTGGGGTCAACTAGCATAAATGAGGATTGCTTTTAAATTGGTCTTGAAATTTTTCAACAGTATCGCTATACTAATTAAGACACGTGATACGATCCGATTTTCCGTTTGACCAATAACTAAACGAAACACCATCGTTTCTTTTTTTCAGTCGTACAAGACAGACACGAAAGTCCTGTATTATAGTGTTGCCCAAATGCAAGACCAAGACGAGACTTAGACCAGTCTTGGTATTGTCTTGCGTCAATACACCTGGTCTTGGTATTGGTATTGCACTCTCAGTCTTGGTCTTGGTCTTGATCTTGCAGCAAGAGTCTTGCAAGTCTCACGAGACTTGCAAATACCTATTAGCCTATTACTATTTGTGGGGGCTTGCGGGCTATCCTGGAGCATTCACCAATGTACAATGTTCATCAACCAATAATAGCAGGCAGGCTACAGGCAGAGATTGAGAGATTAGCAGATTTCATTACAGTGTGCGTAGGTAGGTTTTTAGGCAATTTGTCATACTCGTGACTGGCGCGCTTTGCTAAGTAGGTACTGTCGTTAAAGTATGTGTAAGTAAGAAACGATGTAGGTACCTACTACAACAAAATTGTATTCCTTAGAAAAATTATCGTCGTACCTACACGACGATTATTTTTATTTATTTAGTAAATCATCTCTGAAGACAATAGTCGCTACTAGAGTAGGTACGATAGAAGTTGATAAACCGACACTGCAAATCTCGATTTTTGGAAGTGTGTGATTTTAAAACAAAATGCGTAAAGAAATATGACGTCGCTCATATTTGGAGCTTTTCCACGTTTTAAGTTTGTTAAAATCACCCACTTCCAATTTTGCAGTGCAATGTCCTTTAAAAAGGTATAATAGGTAATAATAATATAATCTAGGTATATTTTTATTACTTACAATTTTTTTTATAAAATCTACCTATCCTTACGACTACATTCTTCCTTGCGAGAACAACATAATCTATTTGCGTCCGTTCATAGCACCCAGAAACTTATTTTATTCTTTAGAACATGGGCAGTGGCGGCGACCTTTGACATGAAAGCGACGGCGGCAACACAAAGTCTAGAAGCGGACTAAATTTTTACCTATTTTGGTGGGGTTGTCATGTTGGCAACCCCACAATGTCAATGATGGCACAGAAAAATAAAATTAAGTAAACACAACGTTTATCCACTTTTTAATAACTCGGTATCCACGATAGAATATTTTTTCTACTTATTTCCTAAGTACTCAGTCTAAATATCTTTTTCATAATTTTTGTTTTTCAATAATTTGTTGTGTGTAATTGAATGGTAAACTCTAAATCTTACTAGAGAGCTTTTTTAAAATAAACTTATTGAAAGCACTGACATGGCATATACACTTTTCAATCTTGGTGCTCACATTTTAGTACCTAAGTATCACTCACTATCTATCATTTACCGATATTAACAATGATTATTTCGAAATCAAAATATTCGCAATTCAATAGATGCAATACCTACTTAGTTATTAATTATCATCTCGCCCGACAGCTTTTAACGCTGTAGTGTTCGAATTCAAGCCAGGCAGTGTGAGAATGTATTTAAATAAAAGAAACACAGAGCATTCAATTTATACCTTCCTACTGCTGGGACATCTTCAAGGTCATTTAAGGCTAACCAACCCTACCAAAATAGGTAAAAATTTGTGTGCCTCTGTCCGTACTCTTTGTCGGCGAATGCGGCGCTCAAACAGTGTCAAATGCTGTGATACACTTGTTGCAAACCGCGGCGTCTTTGTCGGTAAATTATCAAATAAGTAGGTATATAATACACCGACCGACCAACAGTTTATTCGCAGAACGTCACATTTCCCCAATCAACTTTGAACCTTAATTCCTTAGCGATAAACTTGAAAATCTGTTGAAGAAATTTGATAGATTATTTTTATTAGTAGCTTGATGTGCTGGCGTCTGTACCATAATATTGGGTGCTGTAGAAACTGTTACTAGACCTACTCGACTCGCTGTTAGTTTTAATTTAACCTACATGATGTTTATATAATTTTGTTAGCTATAATTTTAAGCACATACCAACCTACGAGTACTAACATTAGATCTGCACATTAGACATAAACAAGCATAACATATTATTATAGGTAGATACCTACAAGGTATGAACTTTGCTATAAAGTTATTCTAGGTAAATTTTATCACATGGGATGGTGGGAACAGATTTGTGAGTATTAACACGCTACTTAATAAATTGTTGAAATATAATAAGTACTTACCTACCTAATCAATACAATACGTTTCAGGGTGCTTTCAGACGAGCGGCACGTTGCCAACTGCAGCCCTTAGTTTAGTGTTAGGATATGTGATACCTACGGTTTTGATACTGGGGAACGTTTCTCAAAATCGGGATTGAAACCAAATACAGTAGGTATTTGATTTAATAACGCCCAAATCTCAGTTTGTCTTAACTGCAAGACGCAAGATTCTTGCAGGCTTAAGTATTGTCTTGCTCAAGTCTTGCAGGGTTCAGTCTTGGTATTGGTCTTGCTATAATAAGGCGGTCTTGGTATTGGTCTTGGTCTTGCGGAAACGCAAGAACAAGACCAAGACTGCAAGACCAAGACCGATTTTGGGCAACACTACCTGTATTATAGAACATAGAAACAGATTGGTGTCATTGTTTAATGAGTAAAATACATTACATTGTCTTACAAGCTTTTTTCTTCTTTTTATAAGCAACCATAGTCAGAGAGTGATAACCACATCAAGACAAGATATACAGATCAGCTATAATGTTACGATTAGACTGTAAATGTTTGATGATAATATATTTGAACTGTTGCCATACGCCATCTAATGCCACTCCGTTGGTGTTAGCAACCATTCGCAGGATTTCTTACGCCTTTAGTACACCTACGCGTTCGTATGCGGCTGCGAGTCTTTGCGAAATTATTGCGGTAGCGAAATATCTGCGGAACGTTAGTACACTGCAGTTTTTTCGCAAGGAAATGTCATTGTAGCTTTATTTCTTACCATCTATCCCCGTCTTTTCTTGAATTTTCCTCCATGCCACCTCTTTTTTGTATGCATTTTTGTAATTAACATGCCCAACTAAATATAATTCGGGATAATTTCGAATCAAATTTAATAATAATTCAATATTTTCGGCTTCCATTGTGCGAAATTCTGTCCTCACTGACAGAACGCGTGGTGACGCATTGCGATGCGAAACTCCGCTAGCGAAACGGCTGCGTCTGTGTAACAGCCATTTCGCAGTTACTTGCGAAACAATACCGACAAGGACGCAACTATTTCATCTAGCTATATAATAGAGCGAGACAAAACACATGCGAAACATTGCCATACAACTTACAGTTTTTTCGTCGTTTCGCTGCCGCATGCGATTGCGTAGGTGTACTAAAGGCGTTAATGTCATTTTACACTAATGACTAATGTGTCCCCTTGTTGAATGCCAAAACGCTTAGTAAATAATGAAAAAATTGCGTTTAACATTAACCGGTTAAAGTTTTATTCATATGTTAGCTAAATCAATGGCAATAATAATTTGAATTTAAAATCTTTTAACATTGCCTTTAAATGTACTGCGGTTCCTGATTTGCATGTTTAATAAATTCGCCTGCATATAAATTAAAACGCGAATAAACTTTTAAAATATCCGTGTTCCAAAAGAAATATGATTTAATTGAAGAGACGTCGCACATGTTAAAATTCAGTGCACCAAGCTGTATAATGAGGAATTTAATTTCCTCTGTGGCACATGCAGTGATGAAATGAAACGGAAAATGACATTTTTATTCTGTGTACGGGTAAATAATTTTTTATAAAATTGTAAATTCGTCCTACTAATAAATAAAAATAATCTAATTCATGAATCTATTTTGTTTACAGAGTTTATGTAGTGTCGAATGTAGGACAACCGTTTCTTGTTTTATAGGCTTTTTTTTAATTAAATTATATTTCGTAAGTCCGTTCATGGATCGTTTAATAAAAGACTATCTAGTCTATAATCAGTCTAAATAGCTAGTCAGCTAGCCAACCAAATGGTTGGAAATAAAATAATGTTAGAAGTACTAGTTAAATAATGTTAATAAATATTAGAAGACCAGAAATAGCTACATTAATATTTATCCTTTGGTTACTAACCACTTATTTATTTGTTTATTTATTTATTATATACATGATCTTAAATAGAAAATAAGTTGGTGTGGTGGAAACAGAAACTGGACACAGTTTTCTGTCCACCAGGACGTCGAACATATTTAAATAACTAACTTATATATTAAGGCCAGTGACATATACACTATTACATTATAACCATTAAAATTGTTTTGTGTATGTAAACCAGAACCACTCAATATCTCTGATTATATTACCACAGAACCCTAAGGGTGATAAATTCTCTAAATAGCACCTAACTGGGATTATCATATAACAAAATCGGCATATACATACAAAGGTTAATATGTACGAAATTACAGGAAACCTGGATAGCAGGATTAAAATTATGAAATTACTCCAATTTTTATTCACGTCACATGTTCTTTTCGATAATTCGGAAACTTTATCGGTTAATGTTTGAAAATTTCCTCGCACGTTTTACAAAGTTATAACGTGTTAGAGGTTATTTTTTTAACCGATTAAACAAACCGGAAAGGGGTGGTTGTAGCTCTGCCGTTCTTGGATCTGGATGAACGATGTGTTAAATGATTTGCATTTGAATTAGAATTTTCTAATCAGTCTGAAACTTTTCAGGAGATGAAATGTCTCTTGAAAAATGCCACACTTATGACACAGACGCCTTTGGAAGGTGTTAATTTTTTTTTTTAATAAATTTATTATTATTATTTTATTTCGTTTTATTTATTTTTGAAGAAAAATATTTTAATTTTAATTAAATTAATATTTTTTTATTAGTCGTCTGTCTGTTTTTTACAACCCATTTTATCTAGTGTTAAAATATGTCTTAAATAACAGTACAACTGAGACTTTTCTGTACAAATAATAGCATAGAAAGTGTGAATAATAAGCTATAAAAAACCGCATTGCATTTGGATGTCAAAAGCAAAGCCGGAATAATCAATTCAGAGCTACAAATAAAATAATGTATTTGAAGAGATATTTAACAAAAAAACAATTATTTTTTCAGTTCAATACACAATTATAAATGTCCTGATGTTTAAAATTCGAACTAAACTTCGGATGACACTGCAGTAACTGCAAACTGCAACTCATACAATAAGGTTTATAACTGTCACTAAAACAATTATTAAGTAAATAATGAAACACATTTTAATCTTAAAGCTGTTTTTCAATATATCAGTAGTTTATGTTGTCATTACCATTATAGTCAATTCCACCAAGTTTTGTATCACCAAGGAGTTTCGATTTGCTAGACGGCCAGCTATATATATCGTTCGTTCGTTCGTTTTTTGCGTTTATATGTTACAATACATTTTTGTATGTTTTTAATTCGATTCCAATTTTGACCATGACTATAGGTTGTGTGGAAAATGTAGCCAGGTATCAACTGATACGTTTAATTCAGTTAAAAAATCGCCTTTGGCTCGATTGAAAAATGTTTTTAATTATAATTTTATAAGGTACTCCACCAAATAGAGAAATAGATCATGGTATGAAACGAACACTCAAAATCTGCAATTATAATGTAAAATCGCTAGGATCAATAGAACGATTCCTTGAATTGACTAATGCTCTAAAAAATATTAACTGGGACATTATAGGCCTTGCAGAAGTCCGAAAAATGGGATGTAAGATAGAAGAGCACAGCGACCTTATATTTTGCTATATTGGCGAAACTAAAGGACTATATGGAGTGGGATTCCTTATCAAGAAAATGTATAAAAATAACATCATCAACTTTATAGGAATCTCTGAAAGAGTAGCACTTCTACAAATGAAGTTTGATTGCTTCTCTTTTTCAATAATCCAAGCATATGCACCGACAGAGAGATCAACAGAAGAAGAAATTGAAAATTTTTACAAAGACATTGAATTTGCTCACACAAAGACAGAAGGGAAGGTCATTGTCATGGGAGATTTCAACGCGAAAATAGGATGTCCAAAAACAAACTACTATCCAGTAATGGGAAAATATGGTTACGGAGTGCGGAATGATAGAGGGGAACGGCTCTTAATTTATGCTCATCAATACAAACTATCCATAATGAACTCATTTTTCAAAAAGAAAGCAAGCTCTAGATGGACATGGTTATCACCCGACCACAAAACTAAAAATGAAATAGATTTTATTATGATAACCCACAACAAACTTATAACTAATATTGAGGTACTTAACAAAGTTGAATTCTCTTCCGATCATAGATTAGTGAGAGCAACATTACTTTTGAGTAGTCCAGTAAAGAGCAGAAAAACCTATACAACACCAGCTAATATCCCCAAGACAGAAACAGAAATAAAGTGCTACATCGGAAATCTACAAAAACATACAGAAAATATAAAAACAGACAGCATTGATATTCAAACATACTACAATATCCTGGAAAAAGGCATAACAGAGAGCTTAAAATACAAAACCAATATGTATCCCCACCAACACAATATCTTCTCAAAAGACACAATGGAACTTTTAAAAAGGCGCACGGAACTACTACACACAAAGAACAAAACTAAAGATATGAAAACAGAACTAAGCAGAATATACAAAGAGACTAATAGATCAATCCGTAAGGACTACAACAACCACAGATACGAGATTATTACAAGGAACATTAAACATTTTAGAAGTGCCAAAAAAGCATACAAAGAATTAACTACACACAAGTCCTGGATTCGAAAACTTGAAAATAACTCACTAAAAACAAAATCCAGAAAAGATGTAATAAATCACGCTACTAACTTCTACAAAAACTTATATAGTAAACAAAATAACCCCGAAATCATATCGCAAACAACCCATACGAACACGACAGATCACATCAGACAAATTGAATACTCCGAAGTTTATGATCATATGAAAAAGCTGAAAGCCGAGAAGAGTCCCGGACCAGACGGAATATGCAATGAGGCACTTAAAATAGGAGCACCCATTTTAACATATCATTTTACGCGATTGTTCAATAAGATACTAGATGAAGAAAAGGTACCAAAACAGTGGTGTACATCGGATATAATCCTTCTCTTCAAGAAAGGAAATCCCTTAGATATAGGGAATTACAGGCCCATAAGTCTGCTGGCAAGTATTTATAAACTATTTTCATCCATAATCTTAAAGAGAATATCTGACGATATTGATAAGCAGCAACCAAAAGAACAGGCAGGATTCAGATCAAGCTTCAGCACAATGGACCACATACAGACATTAGAGCAAGTCATAGAAAAATACAGAGAACACAATAGACCTCTGTATGTGGCGTTCATTGACTATAGCAAAGCTTTTGATAGCATTAGTCACTGTGCAATCTGGAACGCTTTACAATATTCAAATATCAACCAGAAATACATCAATGTTTTGAAATATATCTATACAAAAAGCACGAGCAGAGTTAAATTAGAAACTAGAGGCGACGAAATAAACATAGAACGCGGAGTTAGACAAGGTGATCCTCTTTCCCCGAAGCTGTTTATAGCAGTCCTTGAAACTATCTTCCAAAAACTAGACTGGAAGAACAGCGGAGTGTACATAAACGGACAATACTTAAACAATCTGAGGTTCGCAGATGATATTGCTGTTATTGCTGAGAC